CAGACATAAATCAGAAGTAGGCCAGACGTAGGCCAAATGTAGGTCAAAGATAGACCAGAAGTAGGCTAGAGGAAGGCCAGAGGTAGATCACAACTAGACCAAATGTAGGCCAAGGGTAGAACAGAAGAAAGCAAAGAAGTAGACCAGAAGTATGCCAGATGTAGAATAGAAGTAGGCCAAATAAAGTCCAGAAGGCAAAGGCATCAGAAGTAGGCCAAGGTTAGACCAGAAGTAGGCCAAAGGTAGACATGAAGTAGATACGATCATTTCCACAGGAAAGTGGTCAAGAATAATAATTTCACACAACCACGATAAACTGATCAGATTATCTGAGCTTCAGACTCTTTCAGTCAAAGTGAAAACAGTCTGATGTGCGAGTTCAGTTTGGATTTTAGAAAAGTGCTGAAGTCTTAATTTAGCTTTTGTTCTAAACTTAAACTACTTTATTCAAGTGCGCCTGTGAAGACAGCAGAACAACTGAATGTGGGTTTTTTTGTCATTTCAATCTTTAACGCTCTTGCTAACCTTGTTGTTAAATTCAAACCACAAACATTTGATTGATTCAAACGCCACGCACCCAACACCAGACAATAAACCACAGTGAAAGAAGAACACTGGCAGACGATGCACTTTTACGAACGCTTCTACGGACAAGCAGAAAAACGCTATGTGGAGTTGTTGCCGTGGCAACTGAAACCGCAGCATCAGTAACTCACCAGGATGGAGAGGAAGGCGCCCAAGACGAAGCAGATAAGGAATCCCTTCATCCTCGTCCCCCAGGCCAGCGTCGACGCCTGGTTGACGTTCTGCAGAGACGGAGGAAAACTCAGGTTTTATCACATAAAACAACGTTAAAATAAACAATTATAGTTGCTTTTCTACTTGAAAACATCAAAACAGCTTTGTTACTAGTAAACCTCAGAGATTAAACACTCGTTTTAGTAAGAAAAATGTCAGATTTGTGTAAAGGCGAAACACAAAAAACTAGCACTACCCAACACAAATTACTGATCATTTAATTTTAACATAACTTTTAGTCAAGTTCCATTATTTTTTTAAATGTGCCGAATTGCTTGTTAAAAGTTTTGCTTTAGTGGAGTCAAACATGAACAGAGAATAATCCCCAAATTACTGTAAAACAGGAGAAAAACTAAAAAACGTGCGTTTTTTCCAGGAAGTTCTGCTGCATCTTCTAACTGGGTTTATTTATGAAGGTTGGCTAATTAAAAACATTTAATTTGTTTGTATTATTCAAACATATTAAACTCATATAAGTGTTTTATATCTTTCGGTTCGCATGTAACTCAGTTCTGACCCAGATTTGGACAATAAAAGGATTATTTTGTTGTTTTTAGCAGTTTCTCATCAGTGAGCTAGCGGCTAACAACTAGCTAACAACACCTCCAGAATGCCGCTCCCATCCGCGTTCCCGTCATCCTGCCCGCTCAGAACGCTCTTCAGTTTATCCATAAACTCTGTGTTTCTGCCGGACACACTCATAAATCACCGGGGGGGTGTCAGAAGCTTCACAGGTGTCGCTGGTTTCAGGTGTAGCAGGTGCTTTATGGGGGGCGCCAGCGGTAAAGTTGAAATAAAGAGTGGAACGGAGTTTTCATCAACAGGTGCAGCACTTCCGCCTGCAGTACCGCCTCTGGCCACACTGTGGAAAAGGGCGGCGCTGTTTCCTCCTCAAGGACGAACAGCTTTTAGAGACGGCGGTATGGAAGTCCATTAATGACACGTGGGGGACAAAAAAAAATAATACATGAGTTGTTACTAGTTTTAGTCATTACTATTGAGTTTTAAAGTTATACCTTAGAAACGCATTGTCAAAATAATAACTTTAAAACACACATTAAAGAATTTAAAACTCGTACTTTTAACTTTAAAACTTATGACTTTAAAACACATTACAAAACGTCTAAAACATAATCCATTTGAAGTCTATTTATCGTAACTTTTAAATAAATAATGACTTTAAAACACATATTAAAGACTTTAAAACTCATAATTTTAACTTTTAAAACTAATAATTATGACTTTCAAACGCATTGCAAAACCTGTAAAACATATAACAATCCATTTAAAGTCTATTTGTCATGACTTTTAAATAAATAATGACTTTAAAACACATATTAGACTTTAAAACTCATAATTTTAACTTTAAAAGTAATGACTTTAAAACATATAACAATCCTGTAATACTCATAAACATAACTTTAAGTCTATTTATCACTGCTTTTAAGCAAATAATGACTTTAAAACACATATTAAAGACTAAAACTCATAATTTTAACTTTAAAACTAAAACGTATAACAATCCATTTAAAGTCTATTTATCATGAATTTTAAAGAAATAACGACTTTAAAATTCAACTGGGGAATCGGTGACGCAGAGGTTAGAGAAGGTGGGCCATTGATCGGACGGTCACCAGTTCAACTCCCCGGACTGACAACATTAAAATTTTGGTGGGGATGGTGAAACACCCACACCTGCCTCCACCCTCATTTGCCCCACTCTGGACCCTTGAGCAAGGATCTCAACCCCCACCATCTCCTCCCCCCCGGTACTCTAGATTCCAGCTCTCTGCTCCACACAACGGGCTGTGGTAGCTCAGTGGTCTGTGTTTGCATTAGGAAGAACATCTGGCGTAAAAACGACTGCAAAGTCTTCGTGTAAGTTCGTTCTCTGTGTCGACCACTGGAGAAGGAAGCAGCCGAAAGGGAAATGGAAAAAAAAACCACACACTTTAAAATTCAAATTTAGGCTTAAACTCAAAATTATTACTTTAAAATGTATAACTTTGACTAACTACGTGACATTTTTGTCCTTTATATGACAGAAATTGTTTTATTTTTAAAGCCTGTAATGTTGCATAAAAATATAGAAGGATCTGAATAAAATCCCGTTAACACTGATGACAAGTGAAAAAATGTTATTATACAAACTAAGAGTCAGATTCTAACCTTTGGTCTCCTCTGGTGTCAGTCTCGTTGGTTCTTTATTTATCAAACTCTACATAACGACCAGTTCAGCAGTAATGATAGAATTAACCTCAGACCTCCATAACAACTCTGAAACAGCAGCTTAAATGAATTTCTGAGGGAAGCTAAATCTACTGGACGTTTGTTCCAGTATTTTATTATAAGGATTAAAAAGGAAGACAAATTGACCAGACAAACCAAACAGGTTCTAGGTCTAGGTGTTCCCGGAGGTCTCCTACCAGTGGGACGAGCTTGGAAAACCTCTAAAGGGAGGCGTCCAGGAGGCATCAGATATCTGGACCACCTCAACTGACTCCTTTCAATGTGAAGGAGCAGGGACTCTACTCCGAGCTCCCTCCGGACCATGAGCTTCTCACCCTATATCTTATATATATATCCTATAACTCCAAGATGTTCCCAGGCCAGTTTGTATGTATGTATGTATGTATGTATGTATGTATGTATGCATGCATGTATGTATGTATGGATGGATGTATGTATG